TTTAAATTCCTTCTATTAGTTCACACTCTCCCTACATATATCTTGTTCAAATTTTCAATCGTTTATAAAATACTTTTTATTCATCCACTCAAGTTCAAATACATTTTTTTTTGAACTTGTAGTGGATGACACTGAATGTTAATACAGCTTTTTGAATTATTAATTCATTAATTAAAATTAATTAATTTTAATTTTAGATTTTTTTTTTTTTTTTTTTTAGATTTAAGTTTCATGCATCTAATAATAGATGGCACCGGATGTAAGATGAAAATTTCAACTTTATTTGTAAAGGACTTTTCTGCAATAGAGTGGGAAAAAAAGTAGGAACTGACTTTAAAAAAAAAAAATTTGTTTTATTACTTATTTGCTATTTTTTTAAAAAAAGAAATGTTAAAGTGAAAGCTAACTCGAAGTCTCTGTCAACTAAAAGTGAATTTTTAATGATAAGTTTAATTAAATTAGTATTTTTAATTTATATATAACGCAGTGTTGATCGGCTATATAAACAATGCATATTTATTTCGGAAAATTTCATTAGGAAAAAAAAAGCAAATAATTATATATAGTATTAGAATTTTAAAAGGTATATTTTTATTTTACTGATAATTTTCGACCATTCTGTTGGCCTTCATAATATTTCGAATTTGAGATTTTTCTTCCAATAGGTGTGTGTGTGTGTGTGTGTGTGTGTGTGAGTGCATGTGAGTGCATGCGTGCGTGCGTGCGTGCGTACGTTTTTTAAGACGTTTCACAATTCGTTTCTAGGCGTAACCTCAAAGATAAATGGAGAATTGTTACTATACACATATTTCAAAATTAAATATCACATTTTCCAAAAGGCATTACTATATATATCTATTACGACGTCATTTTTTTTTCATTAAAAAGGAACGTTTAGAAAGTTAGCTAAAAAAAAGCCAAGGCAAGGCTTTTGCCGTAAATAATAACCATTAACCAAACACTGTAAAGGTTAAAAATGTAAAGAAAGTGCCATGTCTTTGACCAATCACAGGCCATCTAACAATGCAACATTATCACGCCCTAGGCCTGCTGTTGTGGTGGTTTACTATTTTATGTAATTAAAAATAACCAACTAGGATTTTTTTCTTAATTCCAGCCCGTAAATAACGCTTGTGATGTTAATAATTAAAATTTGCTTAAAATTTCATGATGATCGGTTGAAATTCATGGCAATTCATAAGGAATATATAAACATATTTTCACTTATTTAAATATATAGATTCATTTGCTGTAAATAGTAAGTTTTTCTAAAATTCTTATGAACTAAAATTAAATCGATAGATACTTTTCTAAATTTAGATGGCAAATTAGATTAACTTTAAACGAATTATTAAATTCGCTTAAAGTTCATCTGGGTAATTGAATTTAGGAAGAAGTAATATAACAGAATTTGTAATATTATTTATTTAATTCTTTCCGATCAGTTCTAATATTATTATTTTACAGCTGGTACTTAATTAATCTATTTCAAAGAAGGTATTTTAATTTGTAACTTTGGAGATTAAATTATTTTATTTCAATTTTTATTGATTAGAATGAATATAATATAATTTTGTTAGGGTGAGTACTATATGTTTTAAACACATTTGTTCGAAATAAATTCATCTAAATAGAATTATCTTTTACGCATATTAAAAACTCCTTTTGTCCCAAAATGAAGTTTCTGTGCCATTTATGAAGCCGGAAAAGGCATCCCGAACTTAATCAGAGCTGACAGTAATTTGCAACAGAAATCCAAAGGGACTTCTAAAATGATCTCAAATGGAAAAGACAAGCAAAGTTCATCCCTAAAACGTCCCGCTGTCTCCACAGTAAAAAAAGGAAATGTTCAGGGTTCGGTTCTATTTATAGCAAACTGCCTCGATAGAAACTAGTAAGAATAGAAAGAAAGAGGAACGTAAACATTGACGAAGAAACAAAACAAAACACCGGGCTGCATTATTCTGAATTCTAATGTCAACAGAATGTGTCGGAATTTTTCCTTCGATATATTTTCCAAAGTTTACATAGGTTACGTGAAATTGTGAATAGTTTGCTGATACTCACTCCAAAGAAACTTAGAATGCAATGTGAAAACGGTTCTGAATTTTTTTCCATTTCGAATTGTGCCAATAAAAAGAGCGTTTTTCCTTCTCTCTTTCCCTTTTGGGTTTTTTTTTTATCACTTTTTTTTTTTCTTTGATAAAGATTCTTTTCTTTTTTGTTATGTTTTTTTTTTTTTAAAGAAATGTTAAAGTGTAAATAATTGGGTGTCTGATTTAATGCTACTAACTCGAAGTCTGTGTCAGCTAAAAGTGAATTTTCATTGATCAGGGTAATTAAATTAGTAATTTCCATTTATACATAACAAGCACATATTACCCATTGTTGATCGGCTATAGAAACAATGCAGATTTATTTCGGAAAATTGCATTACGGAAAAAATGCAAACAATTATATAGTATTAGAATTTCAGAAGATTCATTTTTATTTTATGGATAATTTTCAGGCATTCTGTTGGCTTCCATTTGTTTCGATTTTGAAATTTTTTTGCCAATAGATGTGTGTGTTTGTGCGTGCGTGCAATTTTTGAAAACGTTTGGCGATAATTCGTTTTTAAGCCTAACCTTAAAAATAAATCGAAATTAAATAATAGAGAATTTTTGCATACCGTACGTTAGTTACCGTAGGACGTCCGTTAGCTTTTTCTCCCTAGCGCGCATGCTCAGTTTCCTATGAGCATGCGCGCTAGGGAGAAAAAGCTAACGGACGTCCTACGGTAACTAACGTACGGTATGCAAAAACTCTCTAATATCTTCTTTTTTCAAAAAACATTACCATAGATAATATAAGGACGTCATTTTTTTTTTTTTTTTGTAATTCAAGCAAACAAGTAATATAAAAAAACAGTTTTGAAAGTCAATTCGTACTTTTTTTCCACTCTATTGCAGAAAGTCCTTTACAAATAAACTTGAAATTTTCCTCTTACATCTGGCTCCATCTATTATTAGATACATGCAACTTAAATAAAAAAAAACTAAAATTAATTCATTTAATTTAATTAATGAATTAATAATTGAAAAAAGGGACTTGATGTTAATTATTCGTATTAACATCAAGTGCCATATACTACAATTTCAAAAACAAATGTATTTGAACTTGAATAGATGAATAAAAAGTATTTTATTAGCGATTAAAAATTTGAACAAGATATATATAGGGAGAGTGCGAACTAATAGTGGGAATTGAAAAAAGAAGACTTGGCGTTTGTCGTAAATAATAACCATTAATCAAGCACGGGAAAGGTAAAAATGTGAAGAAAGTGCTATGCTTTTGCCATGGCCCATGCCAACTTTTGCCAACAGACCATGTAACATTGTCACGCCATATACCTGCTGCTGTGGTGTTTTACTATTTTATGTAATTTAACAATAACTAACTACAATTTGCTTGCAATTCCGGCGCCTAAATAATGCTTGTGATGTAATTAATTAAAATTTATTTAAAATTTCATGATTTATTGATGTTTATGGCAACTCATAGGGAAGATATAAACATAATTTCACTTATATAGATTTATTGTTGTAAACAGTAAGTTTTTCTATAATTCTTGTGATCTAAAAATAAATCGACAAATACTTTTCTGAAATGAAATGGATTTTTACGGTTAGAATTTCTGAACCAAAACTTAAATCTTTGCACCTTCATTAAAAATCCACATTTCATTTTTTTATTTATTAAAAAGAAGTTTGCTGGATCAGTATGAACTGCCTAATTTGTTGCCAACAATAATAAGAAAAAATCTCTTCAAAAAAAGTCATCATTATTTCCTTTTGGATGAAAATATATTTCTGCAGAACTTCCGGAACGAATTGCTTATCGTACAAGGAAAATTTCCAAAATATAAATGGCACTGATTTTTTCCATTTTTCATTACTTCATTTGAATTCAATTTTTTTTTTATTAAAATATCACAGCAAATGTTTACTGAAATAAGCTCCGTATTCATCCAGCAGACCCCTGTAGAAAATTAACGTAAAGCGTTTTCTTTTTATCCTTTTTTTTTTTTTTTTTTTTTTTTTTGCTTGAATTTTAATTAATTTTTCCAAAATATAGCAAAAAATATTTCTATTCTGCTCGTACTAAATATAACACTTTTATCAACATTACTATTAATAAAGATGAAGACGAAATTTAATCACAAAAAGTATCTGAAGGTCACCTTCAAAATTTCAAATGCAAAAAAAAATAGTAGAGTTAAAAGTGCATGGAAAGCAACTTCGCATTAAAATCTTTCCGTTTGCTCAGCTTTTCTCTTTCAGTTTACTATTTGTTCAACACATCTCGTTTTTCGTGAAGAAATGTTACGAAAAACTTTTCATCTTCTACTTTTTAAGATTAAAAATAAAGCTTAAAAGGTCAACCACCAAAAAGAAAAAATTATTTCAGTATACGGTGTGATTTCAGTACTAATAAATAAATATTTCTGGTTAAAGATTTTAATTTTATAATTTTAGTTATCTATTTTTAAAAGAATTAAATATTCTTATCTAATTTATTTTTAACATTTAAACTTAATTAAGTATATATAGAGATATGAACTAAATAAATATGTATAAAATAAGGATCTTAATAAATTTTTACTTCAATTAAATACGAATTTAAATTTTGTAACCACTCCTCCTCCTACGCACTAGAAGGAGCCCCGCTGTTGCATTCAGGAGAAATGATCAGTTGGCTTAGAGACTCTCGTCCAGAAGCAATCGTATAAACTCTTATGATTGTAGTTATATGATTGCCTTCATATGATAATGATTGGTTGGATGGTGTATTTATTGGCAATCATATAAACTCTTATAATTGTATTTATATGATTGCGATCATATGAGAATGATCACATGATCAATCATATGATAATGATTGGATAATATATTTATTGCCAATCTTATAATTAATTATATTAACAATCATATAATTGTTAATGTAACTAATACCAAGCCAACGGCCATACCTACTGAATATACCGGTTCTCGTTAGATCACCGAAGTCAAGCATCATTGGGCGTGGTCAGTACTTGGGTGGGTGACCACCTGGGAACACCGCGTGCCGTTGGCATTCACAAATTTGGGACCTGAATGGCCGAGTGTTGTAGCGCTCTGGCGCTCGGGGCCACAGGTTTCGGTTTCGAATCCCGGCGGTGCCATGGATGTTTGTAGTGGTTCGGAATCCACTTTAAGCCGTAGGTCCCGGTCTCCCATGACTGTAAGAGCGTCACGGAGCCAAAGTCTGACTTCTACCTACGGGTGTTCCATCACAACAGAAGCTGCTTCCTTCCCCTTCAATCATGAGTACGTATGGGCTCGTGGGCTTGGCCAGCCAAGTGTGATAAGAAACAACAACATAACTAATACCTTATGATTGTAATTATATGATCAATAATATGATATTGGTTGGATAGTGTACTTATTGGCAGTCATATAAACTCTTTTAGTAAATATAAATTATTAGCCATGGATATTCTAACAAATGTTTGACTTAAATTTTGATTGCTTAAAGAATTGTTTGAAACAGTACAAATAAATAAGCCTTTTTTTTCCTACATAATTATGAAAAAACATCTGTTATATATGATACTTTACAAAACATTTTAAAGGGGAAAACAACATTAATATATTTTATCATGAGGTATTCTTTTGGTATGAACTCCCTGGTGTCCACAAAAAATGCTTGGAAAGAAAAATTAAAAAAGAAAAAATTAAGAGTATAAGTTATTTTTTTAAACAGATTAACTTCCTCACAAGCAACGAGAAATTTTAATTTCAAAAACTTTTATGTGTGTTTTAAAATACACTTGGGTCCTGTTTGTTCCCTGTGGCTTTACCAAAGCGAGCTTTTTTTACAAGGTTTAAACCATTCATTCTAAATACATGAGCAGCCCAGTTTAATCTATTGATCTTAATAAATTTTATGACATCTGGGTCTTTGTAGCATTCATAAATGTCTGCGTCTTCTCCAACAATCAATCTCTTTCCCTAACGCTTCCAAGAACAGCCCTTAAAATCTTCCGCTCAAATATACCCAAACAGGCCTCATCAGATCTTGCGAAGTCCAAGTTTCAGAGCCATAGACCAAAATAGCAAAATTCTTCTTTTAAGTAACAAGAATTTAATTTTCTGCTTATGAACTATGATTTAAACAAATTTCTTAACCCATAAAAGTCCTTACTGCAGGCACGATTCTGTTTCATATACACTATATACGCTATATAAAGTCATATTCCTTAGAATATTTTAATTAAAATTTCAAAAGACAATAACGAATTTCTGAATAAATACAAAAGGTTATTTTTTAAAAATTTTATAAGATACTATACAAAATATTTTTTTCAAAAAATATGCCAATTGTAATTTTAATCTGTTAACGAATAAATAAAATATGAAATTTTAAACATAAAAAAAAATTCATGAATTCCCTATAGTCAAAAGATTTTAAATAACGAATCCTTCCAAAAAACAGAAATGTAACGCTCAGAGAACTCTGAATTTTTTCATTTTAATTAAGACAAAAATCCTTTTTCCCCCAATTATTTCTGTTGTTGAGACTAGATTAGCAAATTATTAATTGAAATGTTTCCTTTTTAATACTGCCTGCGGGGCTTAAACTTGGTTTAAAAAAAAAAATAATGATGTATATTTTTTAATCCGTCGTGTAAGCATTGTGGCGGATAAAAAGAAGAAAGATTTAATATAGAGCTCGGCAAGTTTATTGTAATATAATAAATTTATTATACATTTGCATTTTAATTAATATAATTCATTTATTACATCAAAATTGAGTTTTACTTGCATAAAACAATAATTCATTTCATTTTCACTCTGGCTTTATTTCTTTATATCCCATTATTATTTTGGTCAATAGCAACGTCTAGATACAGTTCAAGAATCCGTGTGGTCTAATGGAAGTAAGGAAAGGAGGGGACAGCTTCTGTTGGGATAGGGCACCCGTAGACAGAAATCTCACTTGGCTCCGTGTCGCTGAAGAAGGAGGGCAGTGCCTTCAGGAGGAATTTTAGGAGGGAACTACCCCGCAATTGCGTATCGTATAAGAGAAAACCATGAAAATTCCCATCAGGTAGTACAACTCACGAGGCAAGATGCTGAGCTTCCCAAACGCCATCGAGTCTCCTTCTCTATCGAGAATTAATTTACCAACAATTCCGTTTTCATTATTTCGTATTTAAATAAATTCATCGAAAAAAATAAGGGCGAATGTGCAAATTTCAAAGCATTGCGAATAGATTAAATGTGTAGTGGGCAGGTTGAGTTGCGGGCTGGAGAACTCACAGCTTTATTGGCACACACCACACACACACAATTAGAGACATACAATTTTCAATACATTTAAAAACAGATAATTATAAATTCGCGGAAGCATTTCACTTCTAAGCCAAAAACCCGAAACTCGGCTTTGCTCAGGGTGCGCGAAATTTTCTTCCTCTCTGGATGAGAGTTGTAGGTAAACTAATAGGCCGAGATGCGCTAAATATGTATATTTCTCTCGGGATGAGAGACTATAAACTAAACGCTTCTCAGCGGAAACGCAACATGCGCTGTACTGAAGGCCGACTTACACTGAAGTGACAAAAGTCATGGGATAGCAATATGCAAATTTTCAGATGGTAGTAGCATCGCGTAGAACAGGTATAAATGCGCAGAACTTTCATCTCTGTTCAAGTTATTCATGTGAAGAGGTTTTGACGTGATGATGACCGCACGACGGGAATTAACAGACTTTGAACGCGGAATGTTAGTTGGAGCTAGACGCATGGGTCATGCCATTTCGGAAATCGTTAGGGAATTCAACATTCCCAGATCCTGTGTGTCAAGAGTGTGCCGAGAGTATGAAATTTCAGGCATAACATCCCACCATGGACAGCGCAGTGGTCGACCGCCTGCACTTAACGACCGAGACCGGCGACGTCTGCAAAGAGTCGTAAATTCTAACAGACAAGCAACACTGCGTCAAATAACCGCAGAAATCAATGTGGGACGTACAAGGAACTTGTCTGTTAGAACTGTGCGGAGAAATTTGGCTTTCTTGGGCTATTCCAGCAGAAGACCGACTCGAGTGCCTTTACTGACAGAACGACATCGCTTGCAGCGACTCTCGTGGGCACGTGAGCATATCGGTTGGTCCCTAGATGAATGGAAAACAGTGGCCTGGTCCGATGAGTCACGATTTCAGTTGATAAGAGCTGATGGTAGGGTTCGAGTGTGGCGCAGACCCCACGAAGCCATGGCAAGGCACTGTTCAAGCTGGTGGTGGCTCCGTAATGGTGTGGGCTGTTTTTTCATGGCATGGACTTGGTCCTCTGGTGCGACTGGACCGAACATTGACTGGAAATGCTTATGTTCAGCTACTTGGAGATCACTTGCAGCCATTCATGGACTTCATGTATCCAAACAACGATGGGATTTTTATGGATGACAATGCGCCATGTCACCGGGCCACAACTGTTCGCGATTGGTTTGAAGAACATTCCAACGAATGATCTAGCCACCTAGATCGCCCGCCATAAATCCCATCGAGCATTTATGGGACATCATCGAGAGGTCTGTTCGTGCCCAAAATCCTGCACCATCAACGCTTTCACAATTATGGACGTCTATCGAGACAGCATGGCTCAATATTCCTGCTTCCAATATTCCAATATTCCTGAAGACTTCCAACGACTTGTTGAGTCCATGCCACGTCGAGTTGCTGCACTTCGCCGGGCGAAAGGAGGGCCGACAGGATATTAAGAGGTATCCCATGACTTTTGTCACTTCAGTGTACATTGCTGAAGGCCTATTTGCCGACTTACATGCTGAAGGCCGACTTACCATTTCTCCTAAACGCCACAGGGGGTGCTCTTGCCAGTGTGTAGGAGGAAGCATTATTACAAATGTTATTTTACATATTGTAAATCAGCTGACCCATCTATAAAATTTAATCTATGTTAACAAAACAAAACAAAACACATGTATAGCACATACTATAAAAACACATGTATAGCACATACTATAAAAACACATGTACAGCACATACTATAAAAACACATGTATAACACATACTATAAAAACACACTTATAAAAAGGTGCGTTTTCCATTATTTGTAGTTATTTTATGTTGTTCAGTTTTTCACAACGCTTTAATATGTGCTGATAATCATTTGATAAGCTATATATAATTTAATGGATTTGTAAGAAAGCAATAGAAGGAAAGTTCTACATAATATTCTCAAAAAAAAAATTAATACGAAATTTCTTATGGCTTTTCAAAAGATCGAATTTCAGTTTTTAACAATATCTGACCTTAAAAAATAAATTATGATTTATTGTATGCAAAAATTTTCTACATTAAAATTTTCTGAATATTTTAAGCACTCGAAATTCGATTTTTTTTTCCCTTAGTAACAAAAAAAAAATTTCTGAAGAAATATTTGATATTAAATTCCATCGAAAAACTGCATTTAATAAAAAGTTATTTGAAACCATAATAAAAATTATTTCCAGTTAATAAAAAAATAATTTTAATTTTAATTTTTTTCCCTTACTTTCAATAAAAATATATTTATTCTATTTTGCAGATACATTTTTGTATTTTATTTTTTTAACTCATTAATTATATTTTAATTCCCTAACTCAGGTTAAATTGTTTTAAATATTTTAACATCAATTGTTTCTAGAAAGTTAATAATACTTAAACAACGTTTTCCAACAATTATTCGGTTACATATATATATATATATATATATATTTACTCATTAGTAACTTAATTCAGCATTTAATTTAATACATTTTCCTCAATTATTTTACAAACATTCTTTTAAACAAATAATTATTCGCATAAATAGTAAATAAAGGCATATTTATTTGTGTCACCAGGTTTGCAATAGATAATTAGTGAAAAGGAAAATTGTGGGCATGTTTTGGGGTAATTTAATCTTTGTTTAGTAATTCCTTAATTAAATTCTTCTATCAATTAAGAAAATCGTATCTTTTTGTAGTTCTCATTTTCAAAAGTTAGGATCCATGTTTCTGAAATTATAATTCCCCCAACGTTTCAACTC